TTTTACTATGCTCATTCTCTGTATTATAGTTCAGATTATCCTAAAATGCAGAGACAAGGGTGCTCAAGAGAATGGAATCCTTAACTTCTCTCAAAACCCAATTTTTACCTATTGGTTTAACATATCTTTCCTTTTCTTCTAATTCAGTCCCTCAGGGAGGCACAAGTAGGAAGGGAAACTAACAGATTCAACTTTCTCCTTTCTTTTCTTTGATAGAAGTTTGAAAGGCAGACAAAAGGAAGGATAATGAGATACACTGGGGTTGAGGATTAAAACTGATGCATAAAAACTGAAATTCTCCACAGATTTGGCTGAGTCTTTGGCCTCTTGGTCTTAATAGAAATAAATGATTAAGAGGCTAAAGCAGAGTTCATGCAAATACTCATTTGTATGAGCTGCAAAGAAAAGGTAAACAAACATCAGTAAAATGGAAATTCTCAGTTGCTCAACTAAGGGAGAGAACAAGTTTTTCTCTTTAAGACAAATTTACGGTAGAGGAAGTGAAGCATTATCTTGACTTGAGGAGGAAGTGTCCCTGTGTCCCAAGACCTGAACATTGGATTGGGGGGAGAGGTAAGACGTGAATAGAGGAAAATATTAAAACTAGGGAAGAGGGGCACAGTTATGTAAAAATGGGTAAAAAGCAGCAAGAATTTGTAGCCAAACTATCGAATATTTCTGGGGTCACTTACTTCAGAGTAAATGAGAGGGATTTGAGTTTTGGTGTTAGCAACTTTTGGCTAGATTGTTAAGGCAGAAGACGTCAAGTAATAGCAAAGACTAATAATTAGAAAGCAGGAGCCGAAATAGTTCATGGGGTTGCTAATTCCTTAAGCATTCGGGTACTTGTCTTGCTACCTTTCATTAATACCAATTACTGGGTAATGGTCAATGAGATGAATTATTCTCTATTCTACACACAGACTTAAAATGAAATCTATGGGATGAAATTCAATTTGCCCTTTTAATTTATATCACATTTTGAGTCATTTTTCAACTGAAAGAATTCCAAAATGCTTCAGAAACTTTACAAATGCAATAATCATATTATTTGATGCCAAAATGAAAATCTCTCTGAAGTGGAAAATGGGAGTTATCCAAGAGCAAACAGTACACATTACAATCAATTATATCCTAAATAACAAAATCTCTAGTGCACAACAAACCATTACAACTTCATAGGAATTCAGAATGTTGTACTTAATAAAGCAATTATAATCTGTCATCCCATCCTCAAGATAAGCAGTATTGCCCCAGAGCTTATGTTATGGATTTCTTTGGTAACTTTGGTATAAATTAGACTTACTGAAGTATAAACCAAGAATTTTTAAATGTCATATTCATTTTACTCTATTGAATATGTAACATGTTCCGAAACTCTAACATGTTCATGTTAATTTTTAGGGAATATCAATTAAGATTAATCTTCTATGGAGGGAATGCATGAAAATTTTCTATATAAAACTCTAATTGTGCCTGCAGGAAAGAGTGATTCTAACAATGACTAAGATAAACTGTGAGAATGAATATGGGAAAACAGGATTGCTTTTAAAGATGCTACAAGTTATACGTGGCTATGAAAAAAGCTTATTCTTCCACCATTATGTACTGTCATGTGGACACGAGGGCTTCTGTTTTGTTGGCTTTTCCTAGAGGCACAGCTCAAATTGGGTTATAAACTACTCTGGTCTATTGAGTCGAGTTGGCAGGCACTGGTAATTAATCTTTTGTAGAGATTAGGGATAAAAGTGGAATTAGGGAGAATTTCAAAGCACTTGAGTAATGCTATCAGGATAAGTACAGATGTAAATTTTGGGGCCAAAGATTAAAGATATGGCCTCACTTATGTGAAGCAGTCAGATATCCACAATTGAGAATCTGGAGATCACAGGAGAGACACCTCGAGGACTGGAGATACATATTCACAGATGATCCAGAGAAGATAATGGCGGGTGTGCCAAGGGCTGAGTTCACCAAGAGAAGATACTGGGGGACGGAGGGGGTTGGGGAGGAGAAGCAAAAATTTCAGTTCTAGGAAATGGAACGTTGATAGGAAACCAATGAAAGTTCTTAGAAAGGAGAAAGTGGGGAGGTAGGAGAATGAGGAGCAGTGTGCAAGGACACAAAATCCACCGGGTGGTAGTAGGGAAACCTTCCTAAAGGAGGGGTTCTATCGATAAAGAACTGGACTCATACATTCTTACTGGAACATTCTATACTTTGAAAGACTGTGTAGCCGTTCAAAAAGGATGTCAATCTACACATACGGACGCTGAAAAATTCATACAAAAAAGGTACAGGACAAAATCGCCTATATAGTATCCGATCACTGGTGTACAAAAAAGATGTATGTAATCTTCAGAATGATACACAAGAAAGTGACAATCCTAAGTGCTTCTGGGGAGGGCACCTGAGAGCTGAAGATCAGATGGAAAGAGAGCTTGAATTTTCACTGTATACCTTTTAGTACCATTTACACGTTTACCACGTACATGAACCTTTAAAAACAAACCGTTAAAAAAGAAAAGTGATTTGTAGACAGGGTCAAAGTCTATAGCAACGTCACAGAGGATACAGACCGAGATAAAGGTCATTAGATTTGTTTAATGGGACTTGGTAACTTTGAGAAAGTAGGTTAAGGTCAGTCATTTGATACTGAGAGACAACATTGTATTGTACGTGGCTGGAGAACATAATTCAGGAAAACAAAGAATTTGTCTTGGAAGTGTTGAAGTTTCAGGGATTAAGCTTGTGAACTGATCAGGTGTGTGTATGTGCATACATACACATATCCACCTTTCTCTGGTTATGGGACAGGCAATAATAGATTTTACTGGGAACTGGCAATTGGCAAGTATGATGTGACAGAAAGACCAACGGTTGAGGAAATTGAGAGCGTGGAAGAAACCTATTGAGGACTAGGGGTGAGCTAAGTATGGATGAAAACATAATGGAAAGAGCTTGGAGGAACTTTCGACACCAGGAGAGGTAATTGAATAATAGGAAAAAATATCCTGTTAGAGACACAGAAATCAAGGCAGTAACTCTTTACCTACCATCCAGCAGAAATGACAGAAAATCGTATTCTAAGATTTTAGTTACACAGGATATAATTCTGCTTTATTACAGCCAGGAAAGAGAAAGTAGTCTAAAGCCAATTTCATAAGCTCAGGTCTTATCAAATGAGAAATGGTAAGGCAACCTGACATGATGCCAACTTAAAAAAAAAATTTTTTTTTAAGTAGGCTCTACACCCAACGTGGGGCTTAAAACTCACGACCCCAAGATCAGGAGTTGTACGCTCTACCGACTGAGCCAGCCCGGCACCCTAACAAAATGCTAACTTTTTGATGACAGAAAATATTTCCTGCAAAGAATGATTTCCATAAAATGCTTGACTTGAGACAAAAATCAATAGTCTGATACAAATTCTGCATATTCTATTTGAAACAATAAACATGCGTTAACGCAACCTAGAGCAGATAGAATCCCCCCCAAACGGTTATTGCATGATACTGGTGGGTGAGCTCTCTGGGAACCCATCAGAAAGTGCTTCTGGAGGTAGGTGTGACCCATTCTAGAATATCCTCAGTATATCTGCTTGTGGTTGAACCTATACTCAAATAAAACAATAAACAAATAAAACAATATTTGGCCCTTAAGTTACGACAACCTCTTGCTCACAACTAAGTTCTTAATGGTCAGATTCAACACTAATTCGTATGATGGCTCACATGTGGGAACCTGCCTTTCCATCTTGGATCTAAGTAACATCCCATGAAATAATGCAGAAAATCCCCAGAGATGCTAACATACATAAAATGCCAGTACACTTTTAAAGATAAAACTTTTTAAGGCAAGTTGTAAATCAAAGGTAAACAAAACACACCCATTAAGTGGACATATTCATAGTTTGGAAGGGGAGGTGGGTGGGGGGGATGGGCAACTGGGTGATGGGCATTAAGGAGGGTACTTGAAGTAATGAGCACTGGGTATTATATTCAACTGATGAATCACTAAATTCTACCTCTGAAACTAATAATACACTATATGTTAATTAAATTGAATTTAAATAAAAAAATTTTAAAAAGGCAATTGCTTCTTTTTAGTTTCTTCGATCTCTCTACAGAAATAGTCTATGTATAAGCAAACATATATATACACACACACACACATATATATTCTTTTAAATATACAAATTGGAGTATATGTTCTTGCTGAACAACGTTATCTTGGAGATTTTTTCCTATGATTCGATGCAAAGCCAATCACTCTAACAACTCTACACAGCTCTACATTTATTTAGCTCATATCCTATTTATGCATATTTTTTCCAGTTGTTTACTTACTTAATGCTGCGACAAACACCTTTTCACATTTTTTTGCACAGGTATAAATATGTGACAGGTGAATTTATACATATAAAATTGTTGGGTCAGAGGGTATGAATATTTAAAATTTTTGGGAAAAAAAGTCAACAGATACTGGGAAATGGCCCTTTAGAAATGTCTACAATCTCACCACTAACATAGGAGAGTGCCTGTTTCTCCATAATTTTGCCCACTCAGGGTGTTACCACATTTTTTTTTTTTACCTTGGTTAATTTGAGAGAGCAAACAGTTTTCATTTGCATTTTTTAAATTTGTGAGTACAAATCTGAGAATACTTCTCAAAAATTATAGATCCCCGAAGAAACTGAGAATTTTCTAAATGCTATCTGATGCTGGCTCCCTTTTGGTAAAGGGATCCCAGAGAATTTACTGTTAGAGGAGTAAACTTATGTTGATAGAGTTCTTATATAAAGTGTGGCAATCAACTCTTTTAACAAGAGACAGTTTCATAGATCGGTTTCATTTTGCACAAAAGGGGAAGAAACACCATTCTGTGGCTCGATGTGGGTTTGCCAGTTATTACCTCCCCCCTTCCTGGGACTTCCCACTGTTCTTGAGCACAAATCAGACTCGAGCAAACACAACTCTTTCCATGGGATCAGTTATAAGAAGAATGGCCAGGCCATGAGCAGCTTAGTTTCTTGGTCTTACCAGTGGAAGGCTTGCCAACATTTCTGAAGAAAGCCCTGGCTGGCTCATTCTTCTCTATATGGTTGACTGCTGTTTCTTCCGGACGAAAGGAGCAGATTGGTTAGTGAAGGTAAGACAAAGGAGGCAACAGGCCCTCTTAGTGCTACCCCTTCGGTCATCTCTCTTCTCACCTTTTTAGTCTGTTCTCATCAGAAGCCAGATGCAATCGTAACATCTCAGATGCTTTTCTAGCTGACCGAATCAGGGGTGAGCGGGAGTTGAAGCGAGCATTCCAGAGAGCGGGACGAGAAAGGGCAATTAAGTCAAACACTCCTTTCTCTGAGCTCCCCGTGCTCACCGTTTGGGCATTTCTGGGGGATTTTTTTTGACCTAACAATTTGGACGGGTGGGATCCAGAACTAGTTGTGTGACTGATGCAGCCCTCGTGCATTAACTGCTGCACAGATTTAGCTTCTATGTTTTGAAAAGAAGGGCTTAAAAACCTGACCACAGTTTGGCAGGGACAGCACAATTCTAGAACTGAGTTACACTGGTCGAGTTTTTGAGATGAGTACCATTACAGTAAGTTCCAACCGGCTTTGACCCTCAATTATTCATTCCAAGAGCTTGAGGTAAGTGTTTTGCTGTGTGGCAGGGCCGACTCAAAGCGAATGTGACCTCCCGCGCTGTTGCTTTTCAAATTGCCATCCGGCTGACCATGGGCAAGTCTACCTGTTGGTAGGAGAGACTGCATCCAGGTGGGCTTTTGTCTGAATTCTCTGTAGATCTGCTCAAACATCCCTTTCTTCTGTGCTTCAATGTAGACCTGACTTGGCCAGAATATTCAGACTGATATTTTTGCATCGTTTCTTTTGTAGGGCAGTGCAGTAACCGTGTGTTTTGGAGCTTGAGAAGCTTCTCGGCAGAGTGGAGAGTATTTTCAATTCACATGAGAATGGTCATTTAGGGGATGCACAAAGGTAGTGCACTAATCCTGTTATCTCACAGCACAGCTGTGTTTCAGTAGCTATTTCAAGTTACTGAAACATTCCTAATCACATGCCTAATGATTACTTCAGATATATAAGGTATTGTCCCTCTAAGCTCTTCACAAACATGACAGAATATAAATTTGCCTTCATTAACTCAACAGAGTTATTTTCCTCCCAGTTTTTGTTTTGCAAAGTTTCAAACCTATACTAAAATGGAAAGAATAGTACAATGAACACCCATATTTCCATCATGGAGGTTAATCAGCTGTAGCCTGTTGCCATATTGACCTTCTCACTATCTTGCTCTCTCCTCACACACACACATACACACACACACAAATATAGACACAGTTTCTTTGGTGACTTTAGGACACATGTCACCCCCAGATTCTTGAGCATTTATCTCCTAAGAAAAAGGGCAGTCTTCTACATAATTACAGTGCTAAGGAAATTTAACATCAATATGTTACTATTATCTAATATATGATCCATATTTAAATTTCTCCAATTATCCACACGTTCTTCACGATTTGATTTTCTTAGTTTAGAACGTAATCGAGTATATTGTACCGCATTTTGTTGATAGGACTACGATTAAATAAGTGTTAATGGCAATGGAGGTAATTAGCAATATAATGAACAATGATTATCAACTGTAACACCAAAGAAATGTAACATCAGTCAATACTATTATGATCACTTTTTTTATTTCTCTATTCCTCTCATTTTATGTCAAATTCAAGAAAGTGATAAGCTTTAATTTTTTCGTTTGTGAGATGTCAAGACTGAATATGAAGAAAATCCAAACTATGACAAAAGTGTATTTACAAATTTTCTGCACCAAAATTTACAGTTTCCATAATAAGGAAACGGACATATCCAGATAGAGCCCTTGGAAGTTGCTGTTACCTTTGGTCTGAACTGAACAGAAAATTTACCTGCTGATGTTAATACGGAAAAGAGAGGCCTTTTGACTTATATTTTCTTAGCCATCAAATTAGACTTTCAGAAATCAAGAATCACTTCATGTTTGATAGAAGAGATAATCCCAAACTATTTCTTTTGTAATAAGACTTGATATATTGATGAGTGATACTTCAGAGCATCTGCTGACAGATGCCACCAAAGATGAAATAAGAGGAATATAAAGCAGGGTATATGGTGAAGGGAACGCTCGTTTCTAGCTCTAGAAAACATGTGCTTTCAAAGACAATAGTAAGGAAACTGCAGAAGCTTTTTTTAGATGGGGAGATCCCTCCTAAAGAAACCTTGTTTTGGGTAAAGTTCTTGCATCACTCGCTAAAAAACAAAACATGAAACATAGATTTACTTCTCATGATGAAAAAAAGTGTAATATAGATTTGGTTCCATAATAGATTATGAACAAAATAAAAATCAAGGTTTTCAGCGATAACCTTTTGGTAGTTTAGTCACAAGACCCAGAAATTGAGATCTTAATAAAAACAAAAACAAAAACGAAAACCGGAATTATGGAATGCAGGATTTAGATTAGAGGAAAAAAGTAGATGAAGAGATGAAATGGAGTATTTTGAGGATTGGGGGGTATTAAAAAATATCTCTGATAGGTCACTTACACATAGTCTTCACAAGACAGTGCTTTATCCTCGAATTTGAGGCAAGAATAAATCTGCTCATCTGATTGGCAAATTAAAAAATAAGACTGTGCTGAAGAATGTCAGTGGAAACAGTTAATTTCCCGTGTTGCTGGTGAGAGAATTGGCCCAAGCTCCTTGAAAGGCAGTTTGCAAGGGGTGTGAGGTAGTAATTCGCCTTCTCCAAATCTGGCCTAAGGAAATGCTCATGGACATACGTACTGGGATGACACACAGTAAAAAAGCAAGAAAAATCTCAGTGTCCGCTTTGAGAAAAGATTTGCTAACCTAAGACGTGCCTGTAGACATATTATTTTGTGCCTGTTAAAAGGCAGATCTATTTAAGCGGATATCCTGACAAGAGGTGGGAACCAAACTGCACCCCAGCTAGCCGGGCCCAGGATCTCAGAAACATCAAACAGCATTTTCCTGCCTTTGTTTCCTAGGATGCCAGGAGCTGGCCCCATCCTGCCTCCTCCACGTGGCTCTGGAGGCCTCTTTGCACCCCTCTCAACCCAGCCCCTCAGACATATCACCCCCAATTTCCCCACTTCCCACCAATGCCCCCACTTCTTGCTTTCCTTTTGCTATTGCTAGTTACTCCTTTATTCAAAGGACTTTCCCAATGATTCATTTCACTGATTTCTTTAAGTTTCAACTGATTTTGCTCAAATTCCATGCAATCCTGAAAAATATCTTAGGGGTAGGGACAGAATAAGCCAGACCTCTCATTTTGGGGCAAGGATGCTGAAGGGATGGCCAGGGGCTCGGAACTGTGGCTTGAGGAGATGTGAAGGGTGAAACAGGGGATGGATAGGGAAGCAGGGCTCTCAGGACAGAAATAAAAATGCACGAAGGCCTGGGACAGGCATGAGGTGCCGAGAACAGGGAGCAGTTGGGCACGGCTGGGGTCCCGAGTCTTGCGGGGAACAGGCAGAGAGGAGGTTGGGAAGACAGACAAAGACCATGGATCACGAGGGCCTCACGTGTATGGACTTGAACCCGGAGGTCACGGGGTGCTGCTGATAGTTCAACAGTGCATCTGTAATATTAAAGTACTCTGTGGTTTTAACATTAAGGGCGCGATGATGTCAGGCCATTGCCAGTGGGCGTGGTTACGGAAAATGTTCACATGGTATGATTAAAAGGCCAGAGAGGGTGAATTATTTGAATACCTCAAAGACATACTGGCATTGATACAAAATTGGGACATGTGTGTAGCCCTCTGGACCACTCCTCTGGGGTGGGCACTGGCTGTCTTCTTGGAGTTTTCTTTCTGTACTTGCCTGTACCTTCCTTCCTTTATTCCCAAGTGCTGTTGTTAGTAAACGGACTCAGGGTGGACCCCCTTCTCCTCGAAGGACTCACTGCTTGTCATGACTGCTTGATGTTAACTGCTCTGAACATGGCAGCAGTGGGATATATTTTACCAACAGACCACACGCTTTGGGGTTCATCCATTTGGACTTGAATCTTGCCTCCAGCACTTAGTTGCTTTGTGTCCTTGGGAAAGTCATGGGTCCAATATCAACCTTGGCTTTCTAGCTGGGAAAATCCAAATTACGGTGATAGCTAACATGCAGTGTTATTGAAAAATGAGGCAGAATGCATGGCAAGCACCCGACACAACTACGATTATTATTATTATGCTCTATCCCACTACTGCAACTGCTTTGTGACCTAGGTCAAGGGGAGGCAAACAGCGGCTCATGAATCAAATTGGCCCTTTGCCTGGTTTTCTAAATGAAGTTTTATTGGAGCATAGCCACATCCATTTGTTTACATATGGTCTACGGCTGCTTTCCTGCTATGATGCAGACTAGCAGGGGCACACACTTAAAATACTAAATATACTTTTTATAAAAAAAAAATTTGCTGATCCCTAACTTAGGTTTTTCCAAATGTTCCCTGTTAGAGAGTTCTTAATGCATGCTTGTTTTGTTTGGCCATAAATGAAAAGTATTTCTATGTACAGAGTATAACAAGAGTTTTTGGAGAAACGATGTAAATGCTAGCGAAGAAGGGAGAATTTGTATTGCCATTTCTTCTGAAATCCCAGTCAATGATTTAACAGGGTTCTGCACTTTAGCACAGAGTTCTAAGATGTGAATTTGGACCTAAGGTTAATTTTGGTATTCCCCTGTCTGGTAATGATTAATGTAGACTAAATTTGCCTGGAACATCTCATCTGCAAATGTCCTTGGATGTCTTTTCCTTCACACTTAGTTATGGGCAATTCTAAATATACCTATATATCTTCTCTGAAGATATTTTTTGAATTTTTGATTCAAAAATTTTTGAAACAAAAATTCAAGTGATAAACTATCTTGGAACAATTAAAATAATCCATTGGCTTACATTTCAGGGTCTCAGATGACATTTACTCTAATGCATGTCTTAATATTTGTCTGAAGTATACCTTTTACAATATCTGTGAAGAGATTAAGGTCATAAGAATTTCACAAATAATCACTGAAATTTTTAAAAATGCTAACAATTAAAATCAACCCAAATAACATTATTTC